CTGGCTAAAGGGGTGTACGAATAATATCTAAAAAAAAATTTAAACTTACGCCAACAGGTCCCAAGAGTTGCCAGATTTTTTTCACTACTCATCCTGTCTTTTGAAGTTGTCATTAAAAGACATATCAGGAGGAAGAAATACAAGAGCATTTAAGAAAAAGTATAAATACTATTCTAGGAAATCTTAAGATTACTGATAACCAGAAGCCATCTGAGAAGTCAGCTGATCTGTCCTCTTGTTGTTCAGTCAGAACTTCTTATAACTTAGCATCTTATACAAGGAGCTGAACCTGTTTCATTTCCTTTAATAGCTATTGTTTCTCAACTTTTTAACTCTAGCTCATCTAGATTGTTTATTTTACCAGTTGGACCTTATCCTTGATTCCTTTTTGTGGTGAGCATTATTTGGTGATAAGAGCTCTAGTTTCAGTTTTGGGAACCCACCTGGGTCTCAAACTCAGCTCTGCTTTGTGATCTTTAGCTAGTTACTTAACTTTTTTGAGCCCAGTTCCTTCATGGAGAAAAATAACTAACTAACTATCCTTTGCTATTAATGTTTCATAATGTTATCATAAGGATCAATGGGGTAATGTATTTGAAAATAATATGTGGTGGCCCATATTCTGTTTGTTTGGAGGTGTATAAACATTACTCATGCATAATAAAGGCAAAGTACACCTCTCAATTTTGTTCCTCTTTTTCTAATGATGTCCTAGATCAGCAGTCCCCAGCCTTTTTGGCACCAGGGACTAGTTTTATGGAAGACAATTTTCCCACACACTGGGGGGTGGGGGAGGAGGGGTTTCAGGATGATTCAAGCACATTATTGTGCAGTCAAATCTCTCTGCTTATGATAATCTATATTTGCAGCCGCTTCCCACCACTAGCATCACTGCCTCAGCTCCACCTCAGATCATCAGGTGTTAGATTCTCATAAGGGGCACGCAACCTAGATCTCTCGCATATGCAGTTTATAGCAGAGTTCGCACTCCTGTGAGAATCTAATGCTGCTGCTGATCTGACAGGAGGCAGAGCTCATGGGTGAGGCAAGCGATGGGGAGCTGCTATAAATACAGATGAAGTTTTGCTGGCTCACCTGCTACTTACCTCCTGCTGTGCGGCCAGTTCCCCGGGACTGGTACTGGTCTGCTGCCCAGGGGTTGGGGACCACAGTCCTAGATGAATGATCCCATTTTTCTTCAATGTTTTCTTATATATTATGTTTGCTAACTTTGAAATAATTTGTTTCCTTCTTTGGATCATATTCTATCATGGTTCTACTATTGCTTGAAGAAAACATTTCAACCTTTTCTGGCTCAAGAAATATCTTGAAAAATGAAATACATTGCAATCAGCATTCTATAGATAATAGCTTGAGCTATTAACTATAGCTAGTCATAACCTAATTGGCATTTTGTTATTAAGGATCTAAGGAATGTTGCATTGTACATACATATTATCTTAGAAATTCCTGTGTTTGCTGGCTTTTCCTCCCATGAGAATATCTGCTAAGAGCTATGTGATACTGCTTTTTGTTTTCTTTTTTAAAGTAAAATCTTAAAGTCATATTTAAATGTTTGGAAGTCTTATGGTCTTCCTATAAAAATTCACATTAGTATAATTTAAACATAAATATTTAATACAATATGGCCTTCAATTTTGAGTGGTAAAAAATGGAAGATGAATTACTATAGGGTAGTTCACTTAAATAGAAAATATATATTTGAATAGTTTCAATGGAATTTGTCTTTCTTGACCAAACATAATTTAATAGAATTTTTCTTTCTCTTATTATTGATACTTTGAGGAAAAAGATCTAATTACAAGTGACCTCAGTAGTTTTCCTTTTAGGGAAGGGATGTTTTATTTTGATGCTACTTAGCTGTAAAGAATGTGTCCGAACTCTGCAAAACTTTTTAAAATTCTGAGTTCAATTCTATAATATCAGTGAATAATAAATTATAAAGATCACCATGGAGGGGTTTGATAATATATGCTGATTTATATGAATAGTTAGAAATCTATACAGAAATAATCAAGGGTAGTCTCAGGCTGCCTTTCCATTATCAGTCAGCAAGCTTATTTTTAGACCATTTCTCTTTCATTGATTGGATGTAGGGTCTGGGAATACAAATAGATTTTAATGGTTTTATAAGGCAAAACTGCTGGAGGGAAAATTCATGTGCCAAATAGAAAATTTAGTACACTTGAAATATTTCTTATGTCCTTATTGAAAAGATTTCTGAAATGGATTGCTGGAGTCCATTGTCCTGGCTCGGTAAGGCATTTTTAAAATCAAGTTTAGATGGCTTGTACCTTTTAAAGGAGCTGTCATCATTCTAATTATCAATTACCAATATCAGTTTTCACTATTCAGAACTGTCCAAATACTCTTAAGATACTTTGTTTGTCTAAATTTCCTATTCTTTTAAAAGTTTACCTTTTTCCTTACCTCTGGTCTCCCCTCGTGCCCTTTAATCTGAATAACCAGAGATCATATATATTTTAAAAACAATGCTTTAGGTATCTTATAACAATGTATAAAGTTAGTGAATTCTGTATTTAAGATAAAAAGATTCTTTTTCACTTTTCATTACTAAAAATGATTACATGAATAAAATGACAGTTTCCTGTAAGAGAGGGATTGCGGAATGATTAAACTGCCAAGGGAAAAAAAATGTCAGAGTAAAGTCTTCCTTGTAATAAAGATTACCTAGGTCCTGACAAAATTAGGAAAAAAGAAGAAAAACTCTACATTATATTTGTTGAATTTATGTTCAAATGTGATTAACTTATTTTGTTTTTTGTTATAGACAAACCAAACCCCAAAACCTAGCCTAAAAAAGAATTCTTATTCATTATTAAAAGTGGTAATAAAATATGTATTGGTGGTGGAGAAGAATCCCACAAGCACTCAAGATTGACATAACCTTTAACAAAGTGGAAAAACTTTTATTAGAACTGCCAATTCTAGGTTCAAATTTATGTCAAAGCACTTTATGGTACCATAATTAGTACAACTGAAATTTTTTTTAGCTTTCAAATGTCATTTTTCACTAAATGACTTTAAATGAGACATTTGAGTTCTTATTTGAGACAAGGGTTTGTACAAGTTTATATATCTTTGGTTTTGGTAAACTCCCTATTTCCTAATTAGTGTATCTCTTTCACATGATTTTCAAAATTATTTATCCCATGGCATGTTTTCAAAGTTCTGTGTGGTAATTTTTAAACTTCAAAAAAATCTTCCTGTTCATTTAGAAGATTCTAAAGACAGTGTAATGTGAGTAACATTTTTTTTCCTTAGGCAAAGTACTTCAAAGCATTTGCCTAATCGTCACAATGTTCTTTTGAATTAATATGTAAATCAGTAATATTCTCATTAAAAGGTAAGAACACTGAAGCATTGTAGAGTTAGGTTATGAACCAAGGGCAGAGTAACCAAGGTAAAAAATTTAGGTATTCCAACTGCTGTTCCAGTGTACTTCTATTATTTGTATCACCTTGAATAAAACATAGCATTTAAAAATTTACAGTGTCATAATGCTGAGTCTCTACTGAGCAGGGCTGCATAATGTTAAATTTTAAAAAGAAAAATGACAAACCTAGGTGTAAATAGTAAAAGGATTAAGTATGGAGATTTTTTTTTTTAAATCATTGATGTCATTGTGTGAAACAAATTGCCTTACTAACAGTGTCATGTTGTCCTATCCAGTGCTGATTGGAAGAAGTGTACAATGTTCTAAAGACTAATGGAACAATAATGTACCATTAAGCTGGCACTAAGCTATACCACAATAAAAGTCACACATATTGTATTGTGTGTTGACATACAATGAGAAGGGTGACATAGGTTTTCAATAATGTATTTTAGAAAACTATTCATTTTTTGCTAATATTTATCTGAATATAAGATCTATAAAACAAGACAAGGAAGCATTGAGCACTGAGTCTTTTCATGACCAGTATCCAAAAGTCAGGGCTTTGTTTTTCCTCCTGTTCATGATGGTTATTAACAGAGCATTGGCTTTTCAGATGGTGCCAATCCTGTGATGAGGCACTTGAAGAGTTTGAAGGTTAGGGCATGTGAAATATGGAGCTGGAAGAAAGCATGCTGCTATTCCATTGGAAGCAAAAGGGAGTGTAGGCCCATAAAATACTTCCTCTTTACCTTCTCTACTTACATCCAGTACCTGCAAAAGAGGAAGAAAAGAAGCCTGTATGTCAAAGAAGATTGCTCAAAATAAAGATGTGTACACATAAAAGGAAGCCTGCACTTAAATCCAATTATGCCACCATCACTATACCTTAGGAACTATTACTTTTCTTGCTAGGATGGTAACAGAAATATTTATTAACCTCCTACAAAGTGCTACACTATACGTTTATATGTGTACATATATATGTACATATGTGTTTATAATCATTTAATCCTCAGAACAGTGATAAGGTTAGGCAGCATTATCCTTATTTAATAAAACTGCCTCAGACTGGTTAAATAACTTGCCCAAGCTAGTTAGTAGATAGTAAAGTGTCATAATGTTGGCTTACAAATCCTCACCTGTAAAATGAAGCAAACAAGGCCTTGAAGCTTTGTTGTGAAAACTGATGACATCCAGCTTGGTGTCCGGGACACAGTAGAATATTATAATGTAGTTTAGTGGCAGGTTCAAAATTAGTTCAGTCGATTCTGGAAATTTTTCCCAAGTTATTTCCCACTCATGCTGGTGTTCTATGTCATCTTATATAGCACAGCTTCTTTGTTAGCCTGTGCTTGCTGTCACCTAACTATCTATTAATAGCTTAATTTTACTACTAGAAAAATTCTTCAGGAAAGCTGTTCTCCCCCGATTTGTCAAACCTACTAGGCTCTTTTCAACCCTCATCATCTTAATTGCCCTTCATCTGACTTTCCTCTAACTTCATTTAAGACCTTTCCTCCCTTGGATGCCATGGTTTAAAAGTAAATAAAAGTTTGTCATTGATGTTTTCCCACTGCAATCCACCTTTGGTCCCTTTACCTTTACCTGCATCCCAAATACAGGTGTACCCTAGTATTCCAACCACAGACCTCTCACAGTACCCTTCTTTAATGATCTTGTCCACTCTTATGCCTTCATCTGTCACCTGTGTGGATAACTCTTAATTCTTTAACTGCACTAATGCATTATTTTAGATAAAAGGGGCTCTTGCAATTTGGGGATCCAAGCTCATAAAGGAGGAAATTGCTAAGTCCTAGAACAAAAGAATGATTAAACTTTTAGCTATTTTTCCCCCAAATGGACATTTAGTTGTCCCAATCCATTTATTGAACAATATACCATGCCACTACTAATTTAAAATAAATCATATACAAAATACAAACTTTTTCTCAGTTCTCTTTTGTTAATTTATGTATCTTCTTGCAATATCACATTTACAGTTGTTTTGACTGGATACGCAAGACTCTCCATTTTCAAAAATCTTGATTATTCTTATATATTACTTTCCTAGAGAAACTTTAAGATCAATTGACAAGTATCATTTCCCCACCTGGTGAGAAAAGGAAAATCCCAATGGGATTTTGCCTAGTATTTCATTAAATTTAGAAAGTAAATTAGAGATCATTTGATATTTACCACAACTATATAAGGTTAGGTATTATTTTCAATTTATTAGAAAAGAAAATTAAGATACACAGAAAAGTGACTTTCTTAAGGTCACTTGGCTAGTAAGTGGTAGAGCCAGTATTTGAGCTCAAGGATACAACACAGAAAGAGCAAGGATTTTGTGCCATTCATGATATCCCTCCCACAAGTAAAAACATTTTTAGAATGCAAAATCCCAGTGAGATAATCATCCAGAGAGCTTTTGTCTGGTTCCCTGGGCCAACAGAGACTGCATATGTTAAGCAGATGTAATGTATTTAATCTGAGAAGGGAAAAAGAAGGCAGTTCTTCTTCAAAACACTCCCCTGTAAACTGGCAGAAGGCGTTTGGGAGAAGGTGGTGCCAGCTTGGCAGCATATCCTCCAGCCAAAAGGAAATAATAGTAAATGAAGAGAACAGTAGAGGTTATCTGGAAACACAGACTAATCACTTGCACACTTATGCAGCTGTTCCTTTATGGGCCACTTGTCATCCATGGTGCACCAGATTAGAGACAAACCTCTGTGCCAAACATTTGCTTACACGCCCATTAAGTAAACAGGGGCACCTTCATTTTTGTCAGGAATCTGTGTTCACTATTTTCTATTAGTTATTATTACTAAAAAGTCCAAAGTTCAATCTAATTTAAGAGAATCTCAGCTTTGCTCTTGTTTGGGTTGTCCTTGTGATGGATCAAGAAGTCTTCTAGGTCAGAGTAGTAGCAGGAAATAAAATAGTACGCTTTTTCAACATCTGAAGTGCCTCATCCCAAAGTGGCTGAATCCCACAAACAACAGTTAAATGAGCTTGGATTAGGGTCCAGAAAGGCAGTCCAATGAGATGGGTTACTGGCTGGTATTTTCAAGGGCAAAAAAAATGACTTTAATCCTTCTGAATGTTAATGGGACAATCTCTGAACTATTTAAGTATGACCTTTGTTAATCAGCCATGCTCTTGGATGAATGATTTGTGGATTAATCTTGGATTAAGGATTATTTAGATTTGTGATTTAAGACATGAAAAATTTAAACTTTGATATTATCAGTATGCATATGATTTTCTCCACCACTCTCCTCTGCTTTTCAACCTGCTAACTTGTACTTAGGAGTTTCTCCTGTCTAACCAACATTTTCTCATAAATACCGTTCTAGTCTCCCATAATCTTGCATCTGTTGGATATTCTTCCAGCAAGTAGTAAAGAAGTTGCCCACTTTTGAACATGTAGCCAGCCTCCCCTACCATCACTGTATTACTGTTAGTGCACTGAAATAAATAGTAAGAAAGTAAGAAAATATTTGAGCCTTAGTTCAGAATAAATGATAATATAACCTGTAATCAGTTGTCAATACCTAAAATGAAAGATATTCATGATATATGATGTCTATTATCCATGAAGACTTCTATTCTAAATGTCTCTTTGACAATCCATATGCTTATACAGACACTTATTATCTATTAATAGTAACAGACTTTTAAAACTTTTATCAAATTTGTCTGCTTTGTAGGACCAGTGTGCCAGCCAAGGTAATAAACACAGCATTTGCAAAAGGATTGATTCTGCTCATCAAAATGGCTCCTGGAACACAGAACTACTCATCCTGTTGACTTTTTTTAAAAAGCAAATATATTAACATTTTATTGTATGAGCTCAGAGGTGAAATTTATTACATTAATATAAGCATCGATTAAAAAGTGTTTGAATTCCCTCTTTTAGAATCACCTTAATCCTGATAATACTCTTGAATATCCTCAGTGGTTTAAAATATACACTTGTACTCCTTCATCTCTTGAGGATAGATTTGCTTGTTTGGGAACAGCCAGATGCCATTAGCAATTAGTGTATATGATTAGTGATTGTTCTAAAGAAAAGCACTTTGGGGACAAAAAAATATATATATATAATGTGACTGTGAAGTTTTTTTGTTCGTTTGTTTCTGTTTTTGTTTAATTTTCTATGTCTTACAAGCTAACTTTAAAGACTATTCCAAAATAGGCAATATGCAAAAATTTTGAACTATGGCAACACTCTGGTCCCCTAAATTTGATATATACAAAGTGTTCTTTGTTTTCTCATTATGTTATGACTTCAACTTGTTTTCTATCCCTTGAGCTAATTTGATACTAAAATTATAGAAATATACCCATAAATGTATTTAAAATTTGCAACTTTACTGCATGATAAACCCAAACTTCCATTGTGCAAGTAGTCAAATGAAGGGTCCTAAAGCCACTTAAAAAATAGCATTCCAGCACTACAGAGCACTACCTGTTGCCCAATTCAAACTTTTATTAATTCTGAAAAGTAAAAAATAAAAAGAAACCTAAAAGACTATGAAGACTGCCAAATACAGGCTTGGAGGAAGACTAGAGGCACTCTTTGGGAGAAAAGAGTTTGCTCATTTGTTGTTATCTAAAAGATAAAACTAAGCTCTAGTACAAGGCAACCTTCAATCAACTAACTAAAACTAGTACAAGGCAGCCTTTAATTAACTCCCTTAAAGTCTTATGTGGCTTTTTTCTTGGCATGGCTTTGATAATTTTTTCTAATATATTATTGTTTTCCTAGTTCATTAATTTCCTCTCATTTTTATTATCTCTTTTCTTCTTTCTTTGAGTTTATTTTTTGGTTTGTTTTCTAACTTATTAAGCTATATCTATCCCACAAGCTTTGCTATATATTGTTTTCATTATCACACAGTTCTGGGAATTTTTAAAGTTCCATCATGACTTCTTTTAACCCATAAGTTGTGTTGCAGTGTGTTTTATTATTTCCAGATATATAGGGGTTTATTTAACTTTCTGTTAAATTCTAACAATTTCATTGTATTGGAGACACATAATACAATATAATACTTAAAATTTGAAATTTATTAACGTTTTCTTAACCTTAACCCTAGCACATGATCGGTTTTTATAAATGTTCCATGTATGCAAGAAAAATATATCCTCTCTAATTGTCCAATTCAGAACTCTCATCCATTCGAACAAGCTTGTTAATTATATCTACCCTACCCTTGCTGATATTTTTTTCTACTTGACCTGTATGAATATTGAGGTATATTCAAATCCCCAGACAAACCTCTGGCAAGACAAATCAAGAGAAGAAGACAAAAGACAAACAACATTTTGCATGTAAAGGGAGATACAACTAAGGATAACACATCAACTATATGTTAGCAATTTTGAAAACTTAGACATGGAAAAGTTTTTTGAAAATTATAAGATGTGACTGAAGAAAAAACACAAAGCTGGAATAGTTCTGCAACTACTAAAGATATTAATGCAGTTGTTAAAAATCTTGCCACAAAGATGAGATTAGATAGTGAGAGTAGTTATAAGGATATACTTTTCTGGAGGTCAGGCCTAATACATGTCATTATTTTATCACAGAACATGTAAAATACAAAACTATAGTAAGAACTGTAAAGTAATAATAGCAATAATACCATAAATATGTACATCAACAAAGACTATCACTGTTTTGAAAGGTCTAGTTGACAACTTGCCCAGCCTGGCCTGCTCACATGCCGAAGTGCCAGGGCTATGCTTTGGGGCAGAGGCTGTCCCTGCCAGACCAGTCACAAATCACTGCTGCTCACAGCCTCTGCCAAGAAAGAAGAACACCTCTGGAGGTGGCATTTGTGGAAATGAATGAATTACGATATAAAATATAAGGCAATGGCATGGAAAGGAGATATTTGTAAAATTTGGGGGGTGTGAAGGGACTATTACTGAAGATTTTTAGAATTTTTTGGTTTATGGGAAAGGGGATGGTATCCCACTTTCCCCATTTCCAGTATATATTACATATATTTTCAAAGTTCCTTCCCACCTTTATTTTCAATAAGCTTCAATCATTTATTAGACATCATTTTTAGGATACAGGATGAAGTTTGGTGGCTGAATTAGCTGCACATAAAAAGGGACATTGAGCCTCTTTCTACACATAAATATCTCTTTCTTCAGTAGCAGCATTGGTAACCTCACTGAACCGCTTGAGCAAACTTCAAAAGGAATGTCGACGACTCACCTGGATGCAAGCCAGAGGCTCATTTGTCCAAATTGAATATCCACCAACTAAATATATTCTCCCATTATGGACAGCAACTCCAGATTCATTTTGGCCTAAAGTAAAGAGAATTGAATAAAAAGAAAAAAATAAATCCATTTTTTGCATGTTTTAATTAACCCTTTTGCCACTAAGAGATACAATTTCCCCCTGTGGCACACTTGTATATACCATGGGATTTTTGCAGCAACTAATCATTGCCTCCCAGTACTTGGGAGAATTAAGCACTATTACTCAGAGAATAAATCTGTGTTGGGTCAGAACCAAGCCAAAATACTTATTAGCTAGCTGAGTTAGTAAATACAGTGATAGTAAGCCATGCATAACTAAGAGTTCTGTACTGTGTTGCATGTCATTAATTTATAGTGGTTGAAATAAGGTATCTTTTAAAAATGCAAAACATCTCTTGTACCTACAAATGCTTTTTAGGCAAGTGTTTACATTTGTAAAGTAACAGCTGCAACCCCAAGAAGCCAATAAACCAGAGCCATGCCCCAAATGAAGACAAATGGCAGAAAAGATCGATAAAGTTGCTACCCTCTCTTTCTTTGCATACACTCCAGTTTTAGGATAATATTAAGGTTCCGGAGCTGGGACCAGCCTGGATAATCCCTAGATATTGACACACCAAAAGGTTTCCTCCCCCATTTCAAAAGGAAGACAGAATAACTCACTACCACATATTCTTCCCTTGAGGCCATCAGAGAGGAAAAGAGTCTCTTTTTATTGATGGGCTGACAGAGGACTGACTGGAGTAATAAATAAGGTGGATCCTACAGCAGGCAGAATCACAGAGCCAGGATGAAGGGCCTAAGGTACTAGTAAAACTTAAGAGTTAAGTCCTGGCCAGGCGCGGTGGCTCACACCTGTAATCCTAGCACTCTGGGAGGCTGAGGTGGGCGGATTGTTTGAGCTCAGGAGTTCGAGACCAGCGTGAGCAAGAGCGAGACCCCATCTCTACTAAAAAAAATAGAAAGAAATTATCTGGACAACCTAAAATATATAGGAAAAAAAAAAATTAGCTGGGCATGGTGGTCCATGCCTGTAGTCCCAGCTACTCGGGAGGCTGAGGCAGTAAGATTGCTTGAGTCCAGGAGTTTGAGGTTGCTGTGAGCTAGGCTAACGCCACGGCACTCAATCTAGCCAGGGCAACAGAGCGAGAGTCTCAAAAAAAAAAAAAAAAAAAAATAGAGTTAAGTCCTTGTTGGTGGGCCTCAAAAATCATTTTGCAAAAACAGGAGCTCAATACAAAGCATCCAAACCTCTGGTTATGCTCCCAATGTTGCCTCCCCTAGCAGCAGCTATGAGTGATTGAGTGCTCACTCAGCATGTTAAAATGTCTTTAGGAATTAATCCAACCCACTGTTTTGAGTCTGTGATTTGAGCAGAGCTGGAAGGGACCTGATCACTTGCGGATGTTAGTAACGCAAGCTGACAAGAGAGAAAATGTTTTCAACCCATGAAGAAACATGAAGGGTAAGTTGTTCACTGTGTTCCTTTGAGGGTGGGGAACCTGCAGCTTCATGGCCACATGTGGCCCTCCTGATCTGCAAGTGCACCACCTCAGCCGAATCTAAACTTCACAGAACAAATCCCTTTACTAAAAGGATTTGTTCTATAAAATTTGGATTCAGCCAAAAGGCCACACTCAAGGATCCAGAAGGCCACAGGTGGTCCCAGGGCCACAAGTTCCCCATCCCCACAAGGTTTTCATTTGTAGGCTAATATACCCAGAAACAATATTTGACAGTGACAAAAAATAAAGGCCATTCTCCTGAACTCCTGAACTCACAAGAAATAAAAGAGGACTAAAAGCAGTGAGAAGTAAGAAATAAATCCCTTCTCTAAAGAGTTATTAACTCTTTCAGTGCCTGCTTTCTCCTGTGTCAAAGTTCCTATGTTAATACTGATTGATAATAATGGACTTTACGTGCCCCCTTAGCCACATGGGGACATGCATAAAGGTAATACAGGCCCTGAGAAACTCAATGCTCAGCCACCTGAACGAGTTCAGTTTTGTTGTGAAATAAATAATGCGCACCTTTCTGGTTAATAAATGCGAGTTGTTCTACTATGCACTTAATTTTTAGAGATGCACTAAGGATGTCTGAGAATCAAGTTTGGCAACTTCTTGAATCTCTGTTTTTTCTGCTTTACTTAATCAAAGGTACTTGCCAGTCAACAGGTTGAAATTACAACGTGTCCACTGGTCAGTGTCTATGTTATAAGAATCTATATGGCGTACAAGGATCCGGTCATTATTGTAGTCGAGGTCATTGCCTCCAAGAACATAAAGCTTCCTTTGAACAGCAGCCATGGAATGGTAGACCCTTCTCTGTAGCATGGGGCTGCGGCTTATCCACTTATTCTGAAAAAAGAAATTCAAGTGCATTCTGTTAATTGGAGAACTCCATGGCAGAAAACAGCAGTGGGTGCCTCATGAGTAGTGAAACCCTAATACTTATCAATCACATTCTATCTGACCGTTTACATACATTGAAAGGTATAGGCATCTTACGTGAGAACAAGTACAAAAGAACCACATATTCTATTTTCCTACTGACATAAGGCATTTTCTCTTCTTTGGGTTGCACTTTATAGTGCATTTTGCATTTTATAAGAGGAACACTGAATTTTCTTAATGCTTATTATCTCACCCAATTAAGAGAATTCACTCATGCACATTACTTAAGAGTGAAAGCACACAGCTAGGTATACTGTGTACAGTGGTGTAATAATTAAGAAAACAAGTCTTTGGATCCAGAGTGCCTGGGTTTAGAACCTGTGTGTGATCTTGAACAATTTAACCTCTCTGTGCCTATTTCCTCACCTGGAAAATGGGGATAATACCACCGACCTGATAAGCCTATTGTGAAGATTAAATGAGCTAATACACACAAAGCACTTAGAAAAATGCCTGGCAGATAATAAATGTCCAATACATGTTCACTTTTTAAAAATTATTGTGATAATAATCACTGGGTACCTGAGGCCCCTACATAAGCCAGGGTAAAAAAAATAACCTCCTGAGATCAGTGGAGGAGCTAAGATTTAGTGCAGCAACAAACCTCCTGCACTTCCTTTGTATCAGCCTCCTTTAACATATTTACAATCACATCTTCTGCCAAATGGGGAAGTTATTTCTAGGCACACATTTATTTGTTTTGGTAGAAGGCCAAGTTTTATATGACAACTTTAAGGAATGGTGAAACCTTCAATATTTGGTACTAGGTCACCCTCAATAATGAGAAGGGAAGGCCCCGCTTGTAAAATTAGATGAAAATCAAATAACACTTTAATTTTAAATCTCAACTAAGCAATGGACAGGTAAGTAAACCAAGTAATGGACAGGTAAATTAACCTAACCATTTTCTTTCCCCTTAAACACTAAACATAGGAAGAACCCAGATTCCTGTTTGCCAAAAAAAAATTTGGATTTCAGCCACAAAAAAAAATATCATGACGTTTTGAATACATAGAATTTCACCATTTCATAAAGCTGTAAGGGAAGAAAAAAAGCAACAACAACAAACATATTTGTATAAACATTGGTCCATTCACTATAGGCATATATACTAGCTCATTTCTAATTTCTCTTTTAAAGATACACTCCAGAAAAAAAAAAAGTGATTTGTACAGTTGGAGAGGCTTACATTTATCTGCTCCCTGTTTGAACATGTCATAATAAGAATCTCCTTCCAATCAAATATCTGCTTTAATAAAACAGTCAAGCCTTTCTTACAGACATTTTGTTAAGAAATATCTTTAATACACTAAGCATGAGTGAATTTAACTCAAACTCTGATGATGCTTTTCTTAGGTGCTTTCCATGAGACAACCCATTAGTATTAGGAATCAATGTTTGCATTAGCAGTCCAGTCCCCTGCCACAAGACTACAGATGCCATCTGGTTTGCAAAGCCTGCCTGCATCCCCTGATTATATCTTTAGCTTCCTTCACTGCGGTGCCTGCCAGGTGAGCCGCCAACCGCTGCAAAGGGAAAGAAACAGAGAGGCCTGGTGGGGTCATTCCTAATAAGCTAGCGTGTGAATACTAATCAGTGGTGGGGAGGCAGAGGTCACCCCAGCCTGCCTGTTGGCAGGTAGCGATGTGCTCTGTGGCAGATGGCAGGCATTATCGACTCTCCGCAAAGGCCTAGAAGAGAAATAAGCACCAAGGCTGAATGATAGAGTTATTGAGATTCTGAGCAAGATGCAAGCAGATGTGATGTTTGCCAGTACCCACTGTAAACAATATGCCAGCAGAATTTTAAAAAAGAGCATGTGTGTACAAACATGAAACAGAACTCATTTGAGAAATGTTAACACCTTCTTCCTCTTTAACCACGTGTGCACCAAACTCAAGCAACTCCAATTAATGATCCCTCAAGATAGCTGACCCATGGACATTTGGTCTCTGAAATCTATAGCTTGTCATGACATCAGGAAACATTACAAAGAGAAAAATGCCTTTATTAAATTCAGAATCAAGTAATTGTTAAAATAAAAAGATACCAAATACACTGAGATCACTTTGGACATACATTTGGTAGCCAATCCCGACTCAGACTGCTGAAGTCAACCTGTTATTTCATATCCCATTATCTTCACCTGATGGATATTAAACCTCCAAATCAAATCATTTTGGAATATTATCATAATCAGGAAAAATATTTATATTACCAACATCATGGAAATGGAAAAATTCAGCAGACATTTCAGCAGCCAAAGTCATAAATATTTTGGTAGAAGGAAAAGAGAATAAAAATAGTTCTTCTTTTGGGGAAAAAAAAAAACCTCATTAAGTGGGCATGAGAAGTAGACAGAAGAAGGGACAGGCACCACCAAAATGCTTCTAATTCAGACTCCAGCTGTTAGATGAAAACTCTTCAGCTACTTCTACTTCAGACTACTACTAGATACTGTTCTAGGTCATTCTGGCTATATGAAGTTAAGTAATATTTATTATTTAAGAATAATGAAACCCTAAGCATGTTCCCCTCCAAGAATGGCACCCCTTCCAGAAGGACACAGCAACAAGACAATCAAAACCCTTTCTATATTATGCAAAACTCTGAAAGAGTGACACATTGTATAGAACATAAAACTAGAGAGGCTGAAATTTTGTAAACAAAAAAAAAAATTAAAAAAGAAGGAACCAAAAAGCAGTTTAACCAGATGCTTCTATTCTCTATATAAGCTTAAGATGCATGTGTGTGTACACACTTGGCATTCCAATTACTAATTACCGTGAAAATCTTTTAAAATTCATTTTAATTAAGGTAATGAGCTTTTCTTATATGATTCTTACCTGGTTAGGTTCATATACCATTAGTCTGTTCTGATACTGTGCCGTGTTAGTTACTCCACCTGTAATGGATTAACATGTGTTAGAGCCTTTCATGAATAAGAAATAGGATATTCCAACATAAGAATGAGATACAATTAAAGGAAAATTAGCTACTGCTGAGGATCTGTTTGTATACCCTCTTGGTGAACCCATGACATAATTAAAAAGCTTATTGTTGAAGCAGTTTCATTTTCAAGACACATTTCAGAAGCAATCCAGTTGAGAGCAAGTAACAAGTATGCTGACATTACCAAGAGGCCCCCAATTCTGGTGAGCTGCTCTGCATGGCCAGAATGAGGGGCAAGGTATAGGCAGGGAGTTGGGGGTGAACATAATATACACAGACAAATCTCTATACAATTTATGCCAGGGACATAGTCATATGGAATATTCTTGTTCTTAGCTAAATTGGCAGTTTTAAAGCTCAAACCTCTGTACACTAACATAGTCATTATCTTGGTATCTCCTTAGAAGAACCATGTTTAACAAAAGGCATTACTTATGAAAAGAGATCTAGAACCAGTGCTGTCCAATAAAATATAATAAGAGACACAAATGCAAGTCACATATGCAATAATAAATTTTCCAGTAGCCACATTAAAAAGGGAAAAGAAACAGTGAAATGAAATGTAATAGTGTTCACCTTGATATAGCCAAAATATTATCATTTCAATATGAAATCAATATAAAAATTATTGTGATATTTTATGTTTTTTCCATGCTAAGTCTTCAAAATCCACTTTGTATTTGACACAGCACATCTCAATACAGATTAGCCACATTTCAAAGCTCAATATGCCACATATGGCTAACGGCTACCATATTGGACAGCACAAATCTAGAGTTCTCCAGTGCAGTTGCTCTTGTGATCAACTCTTTTGAAGCCCTCGTGACAACTGCTTAGATCCAAGAGACTTGAGACCTTTTGCTTAATCGAGAATCCCTAAAAAGTCATCACACTTCCCACTTTCTCCTATTAGTCCTCATACTTCTTTCATGCTTGTGGTGTACATTGAACCCTGTAAAACCCAGAAATTAATAATTTTGCTTTAATCTTTATCATCAAATGGAAAACAACTCTATCAAACAACACATAAAACAGTACAAAAAGAAAATAACACCAGCAGACATTAAATGTGGGGTAATAAAATAATGAATATGGGACCAAAAAAATCTATCTTTAGAAATATTGCTTTATACATAGTTCTAGAGACACTGGTTTAAGATGGTTAATATTCTTATTTTAAAAAGTATCACAAATAAGCAGCCAATTTTTCAATAAAGATGTAAAATTGAGCCAGACTAAAAAAAGGTTCCTACTTAAATTTTTTGAATTTAAAAAATATGAACTGTTACAGTACTCACCAAGATGGCCCTAACATTATTCTCAGCTTGACTAAACAGGCTCCTTCCTGACTCTAGGCCCAGGTACCTTCCTTTTCATAGAACATTTACTTTAGAAAATTTATAAATTCTTTCTCTGCCTCTTTGAGATGTAAATCATTTTAAAAGCTGCTTGCCAGTTTTACAACCCAAGAATATCTTCCTGGAGAACCCAGGAGCCATCCCTTTGAAATGTAATCATCAAGGTAGGTAGTTCCAGAAACTGCCCTATGTTCCATTTTCCATGGATGGGTAGGACTATAACTTTGATGGGTGCCAATTAGCGAACACAGATGGCCTAATCACAGAGAAAAAATTTGCAAACTCGGGAATAACTGGGATGTGCTCAACATATCCATTGATTAACTTTCCCCCAAAAGTCCCTTAGTACTTTCCCACTAGCTCACCCCAGTCCTTAAAAACTATCCTCTTAAAAACCTCTTGTTTTGATGGAGTTGATTTCAAACTACATTCTGATCTCTCTCCCCTATTGCAATAGTTTTGAATAAAGTCTTCCTATCTGTTTAACTTTATATGGTGTGATTTGTGTTTTGACAGTTCAAATACTTTGAATAGTCACCACTATCAACTCCATGGCCAGGAGTCAAGTCAACCAGAATCTAAAGAATTAGTGCCTAATCCTCAACTGAACTGGAATAATCAATCAATACTAATGGATACATAAAAGGGAGGGAACCTATCTAGGCCAATCATTATTCTCTCACCCAACCCCAATAAGGAGATTATATGTTCCATGCAATTGACCATGGCTATTATTAAATAGAGGGCTACTTTTTTATTCTCTCTGAAGCTTGAAGATTTAAGACTTTAAAAATTAACAAAAGCTTTGTCTGCAGAGGAAATCCACAAAGAACAGAAATAAATGAATTTCCTGCCCTCTAAGAAAGTCTTTGTATTTCTTGTTGAATGTCTCATTTCTAAAATGAAATCAAAGGAAAAGAAAACACACTTAGGAAAAGTGTAAGTTGATAGACATTCGGGTTATTTAAAGAAAAAACCAAAAAAGGATTAAAAAAAGTGAGGCTGAAATGCTTAATAGAGGCAAGATGTATGTCAAAATAAATAGAGAGGTGTATTTGCTTTTACTCCCAACCTTCCCTTTCCTATGTGATTAAAAATGAAATGTTCAGTAATTCTTTCTCAGCATAAGCACATATGAATAACCAAATCTATTGAGACCTCACAAGTCTTCAGGGTTAAAATGATTGCCAGTGCTTTTGATCTGGGCCATAGCCAACAGATTAATGTTCAATTCGCCTACGAGCATTTCTCCAACTAAAAGGGAAAAGAGAGTAATGCTCTACCCATTACTTTAAAGCTTTGAAAGTTTCTCTACTTGTTTTAAAAATATGGGACACTCTGGGAGGCCGAGGCGGGCGGATTGTTTGAGGTCAGGAGTTCGAAACCAGCCTGAGCAAGAGCGAGACCCCGTCTCTACTAAAAATAGAAATAAATTAATTGGACAACTAAAAATATATAGAAAAAATTAGCTGGGCATGGTGGCACATGCCTGTAGTCCAAGGTACTCGGGAGGCTGAGGCAGGAGGATCGCTTGAGCCCAGGAGTTTGAGGTTGCTGTGAGCTAGGATGACGCCACGGCACTCTAGCCCGGGGAACACAGTGAAACTCTGTCTCAAAAAAAAATATGGGACAGAATTAATACCTCTGCAGTAAACTGTCTGTTTTATGACACTATTTGAAAATATTTACACTACCATATGTATCAGACCCTGCCCATTTCAGATTAAATGTACAACCAATGGATTATAATGTAGCTATTACATCCCCTCTCCCAAGCAGGGCATCCAATTTATCATCATGTTCTTTAGAATTATTATTTACTATCTTCCACAGATGCATCTATAATACATTTTTTTCTTAATCTGTACTCAGTAATTAGATTCCTTACCCTTGTGTACAAATTTTCACTCACAAGACAATGTTTAGAAATGAGGTATTAGGTTACTAGTTCAGAGTAAAAATAAAAGTCCCAGTTAGTTATTTGGTTGATTACCTCTAGAATGGTAAAACCACAGGAGGTGCTTAACAAACCTAGTGATGTAACTTTTGCCAAGTCAGGATTTCAAAGGAAAACCTTGGAAATTCGTTCTATTGGTTTCTCCTTTGAAATAATTTACAAATGAGCATATAAATAAAAACCATTTCTACTCACTATAAAAAAAATAAATCTTAAAAAAATCATCCAAGTTTTCATCCCACATTTCTTTAGCGGTGTTACTCATTTGTAGAGCTTTATCATTACATTCCCTTCACATAACACTCTTCACTTTTAGATTAATCTGCCGAAATGAGATGCTAAGGATTTGCATACAGATTTGACTATACAAAAATAGATATGGAATTAATAACAGTCTCTATATGTTTTAATTTCTCCTAGACTGGAGTACCCTTGCCTGCAGCAGTATTCCTGACTTTCAAAGTCATCAAGCTGATTTGTCTGCTCTGGGTTATGATGCCACATGCTGCTGTACTGTCCCCTGCAATCAGAGCACTTGCAAAGATAGATTCCATGCCTTCCTCTATCGAGTATATTTTATAGATTGGCAGTTTTGATCTCCCTCCCCCACCCCAGGGGGCATAATCTGCATCTTAACAGCTTTCTATAGATACATCTGTCATTAAATATGCCATCTTGTATCAGCATCCATTTTTAAAACCAAGTTTTCTCTAACTTTGAAGTGCCACAAAGACTTTTCAGCCAAAATTAAAAATGAGCAACCCTGTCTTATACTTTTGAACTGTGACTTAAAGATATACTGTAGGTTCCCCGAAAGTAGAATAAGTCTTTAAACACTGCCAGAAGGAATAAACAGTTACACCATGCTACCAGCAGTGAGAAATACTTTCTATCATCGAGACAAGAGTAAAGCATTTTTCTTAAGCTTCCCTGTACAACTCTCCACAAAATGTTGTGACAAATGGAGGATGAATGTATACCAGAGACAGGATGACAAGTGACTGCCAAACAAGGAAGCTTTGTCTCTGCTACTGAGATCACCGACTCAAATTCATACTATGCTCAAAAGCAACAACTGGTCAATGCTGACGGTGTCTATAAAACAGAGTGCATAGAAAAACTGCTTTTATTATATTTTGGTGGGGATCAAGTCTGATGGCTCCACTAGTTTTTTTTCAAAGGCAGAAAATACTTCTGTTGATAGGGATCCTATACTAAACTCTAGGAGTAGATGTCTATGGTTCCTCATGCAGCTCTAGTGCACAACCAGGATAGAGCAGGAAGCAAAGAACCGATCATCTCCATGCTCTTAGGCTGGAGCATGCTCTAGGTTGGAATTCTGCCAACAAATTCAGGACTCAGGAAAACCATACCAAGTTCTCTGGCCTGCAGGGGCCAGCTTCACACTAGTCTAGGGGAGGAGTTTTGGGACAGGCTGTGGCATTAACACAGGCTCCTTTATGACTGTCCTTGGGGAAGCCTTTTAACATAGCCAAGCTCAGATTCTTCCTACACAAAACAGATAGGCTGATACCACAGGTTTTAGAAGAACTAGAGTGCATGGCCCAGAAGCAATCCGTAGAGGGACATTTACAATAATATTGTAGCTGTTTATCAAAATTTCTTACCCTTTCCATA